TAGGTTCCAAACATTAAAGTTAATAAAGAAAATTAGAGCGCCACACGCGCCCCACGATGTAATACATCGGGGATAGTAAAAAAAAAAAAAAAGTTTGAAGATAAAAGAACTAGACTATTTACTATCTATATTAAATTAAAAAATAATACTTATAAATTTTGTAACAACAAGAGACAAATTTTACAAAAATACTATAATAATGATTATTTAGAATAATATCATGAATAATAAAACTAAAAACCACAAGTTATTATTAAAATTATGTTTTATAAAACCTAATATTTTATAATTACTTTTATAAATATTACTTATTATTTATTATTTTATCAATTATTATTTTATTAATTATAAAAACTTAGTACAAAATGTTTTTTTTTTAAAAAAATGATTATATTTAATATAAAATTTTATTATTATTATATATTATTACTATTTCTAAAATATTATAAAAATATTTTCAGTTTTTTTTTTTTCTTAATCTCTTTTGCAATTTCTGGATCTCATCTTTTAAATTTGTAATCTAAACTTATAGCAAATTTCTTTCTGTAACTATCTGTTTGTAGATAATGCTTTGTTGTTATTTTTGTTAGATTATCTTAAAATTTAGTAGAACCTTTTTACTTACTTTAACCTTCAAATTTGTAACTTGATTTTGAAGAACAAATGAATAGAAATTGCTTAATTTTTGTTTTGATAAGACATTTATAAAGCAACAAGTTAGAATATATATTCTAAATAATATACTTAAAATAATAAAAAGAAAAATATTAAAAACAGTTAAGCATTGACCATCACCTAACTGCAAGAAAAAAAAAAGAAATAACAAAAAAAGAATTGTCTACTAAGATCAAAACAGATTATGTTATTAATTTCAGATTTTTTATTTACTTTTTGACTACTACTAAAGATTTTTTTCATAAAACTAGGGGTAATGGTTTCTTTATATAACTAGTTTATAAATAATATTTAGATTGTAAATAAATTAGATAAAAATCTGCTAAATTTAAAAAAAAATTGCAAACATTTGCAACTAATTATATATAGAAATGATCAACATTGTACTTTACCCTTAATTTTGTGTCAAAAAAAATATATAAATACCGATACGTATTGTGTTTTATTGATTTTTGCTTGTTAAAGCCTTTCGTAGCAGCAGCTTCGACTTAATGGTAAAAGTTGGTAAAAATAGAACCACTTATTACGTATCATGGAGGACATTCGTCTGATTGGCTGATGTAAATCAATTGCCTGAGTAACTTATTTATACACTTTAAAGTACTTTTTGGAAACACAACGTTTAACTAACAAAAATCGCCGTAAATAGCATTTATACGTGATGGAAAAAAGTCAACATTTACTATTCAAAAATAGTTAGAAATAATTAGTAACTTGGAAAACTTCACTTAGAAACGAATATTTAGCATAGCGGGCTTTTTGTAATAAAGTTACAAGATTGAATTTAGGATCACGAATACGAATTCAGAAAGGTAAAACAAAAAAAAAAATTAGAAAGTCCGCGTCTTATTTTATAAATTGCCAAAGTAATTCGGTAATCCACAAAGTAATTCGGAAGTTAGATAAGAGATATGTCTGAACATTTCAATTTAGCCAATAAGTTATAAATAAATCTATTAAGTTTAGTAATTTGTTTCTGAAAGAGTTATTTTTGCTAATTTATTTTATGTTTAGATACCGCCAGTAATATAGTTTAGTGAAATAATATAGTAACAAGCTTAGCAGCACAAAGTAGTGAAATAATTTAGCAACAAGCCTAGCAACACGAAGTAACAAGCCTAATAACACGAAGTAATGAAGTATAAGTTTTAAATTTCGAGATTAGAATGTAATTTCACGTTGATTATTATTAAGGTTATTAGGGTCAAATAATTTGATGTCAATAAAACTAGTGTTTGTTAACCGTAAATTAAAGGTTTGGTTTATATCTTATAGAATTCGGAGTTATTGGTAATAAATATCCTATTTATCCATTTTACGCGTACTAATCAGATTGTTTAGTGTGATTTTTTTTAGTGAAAGTTTCGTTATTTCTGGTGTTTTTTCGTTACTATCGTTAGCTAGAGTTGTTACTTGTTTTTTTTTGGTTAAACTTCATTAGAAGTTGAACCTGGAAATAAGACACTGCGTCGTTTTCTGGATTCGTACGTGCACTTATTTTATTTCTTTTTGAAACTTTTTTTTTATTTTATAAATCTCGAAATGGGACGCAGTTTCATTTGAAGTTGTGTGATTTCTTTTTTTTCATTAGACTTAATGTTTCTTTTTCTTTACAGTCTCGATCAGTTAAAATCGGGCGACTGGAACCTAGAATGTGGCCAGTACGTAGTTTTTTTTTAGCATTGTCTAATATAATTTTCTCTTTAGCTACCCTCTATATTGTTTTCACTGAGAGTTCTAAGACGTTCTCAACCATTTTTTTACGACGTTCTAAGCCGATTTGCTACGTTGATATTGTGCGTATTTATCATAATTAACAAATTAAGAATCGTAAAGCATATAATACCTACGATATAGATTACAATTCAAGACTATAATTCAACATAATTCGATATATTTATCGCAGGTATAAAATTGATTGCAAGGTGTGCAAGGAATAAAGCGACTAACAAAGTATTTGATGTAATTCAATAAAAATTATAACATACATTTACAATTGAATGAACGTTACTAGTGAAATCGGCCAAGTGGTTATGTTGTAGGTTATGTATCGTTATTGATTCACGCTAATTTTGAACCGATTTGTTATTTGCAGGGACAGTAAATGACCTAATCATTAAAGTCATTAAAATTATTTGCATATAGAATAATTTTATTGATCGAATTGCTCATATAAAAAGTTATTACTTTCCTAATTGACAATTTTACTAATGTTTATGTCTTAAGTTGTTCGGGATAACCATTTCATATATTCTAAAATTTTCGTGTAAATTGATCAATTTTTTATTAATTCACTTTCACATTTTACTTTCGTGTAAACGTAAAATGTGAAAATTTCAAATTCATTATTCTGAACGACTTTGATCTTAATATCTAGCTATGTACGATTATCTATCGCTATTATATTTTTTAATTTGTTTAGCGGCCAATTCCGATTGTTAAAAGGTATTAATTAACATATCAATATGTTAAATAACTTGGTCATTTAGACTTCAATAACTTAGTTATTTGTCATTGGATCATCTCAGGTTATTTACCATGTCATTTTGGTAATCGGTAAATTTAAACAAATAAATAAATACTAAATGCTAAATAAAAATACTATTATAATACAAAATATATTACATATCGATATATGGTTTTAAAAATTTATACGTACATAAAAATTAGGATTAAAATATAGCAAAGTAATAGGTTCAAATTTAGTTAGGGTGAAGTTTTTAAAAGGTGCTAAACATTTTTACTTAGTGTACTTGATATTAGCAACTGTGATGTTAACACCACTGGTGTGATTTAATAAAACTGAAAATACTAATTTTAATTTTAACTACGTAGTCCATATAATAAATTACATGTACTTTTCGTGCGACGTACGTATACGTATACTGATACACGTGACTGAGATATTTTAGCACCCGTACATCAGTCGCGAACTCCTCTCCCTTTATAAAGTTCGGCGCTCGTATTACCGTTACCCTTATTCTTCAATAGCGATAAGTTCAAACCCAAAAAACAATGATATGAGTGTCTTGAACATGTCTAAACAAACAAGTTGTCAAACCATGATAACGATAATAGTGTATGATGTAATATAACCATTATTTTAACAAGCCAATTAACGTTAAAATTTAAGATTAATTTAACCAATCACTGATCAAGCATCATAATATCTAATCATGCGAGCACTGACAGATCGGCAAGTCGCATCTCTTTATAGAACTGAAAAAAGTAGGTCTGACAACTCAGTTTTCACGTCAAACAATTCTGGGCGATCGGTTTACGCTCAAGCCTTCTATTATTAAATTAGCGCATGCATTCTCTGCAAGACAAGATTAAATTGAATTCTGTTCGATTTATTAGCGTAACTTTCTTTTGTACTTTACCAGATTTTTCCGTACTTGTCAAGTAGGCATCCCTCTTTCTGTATTCGATCTTAGTTTTCGATCTCTAAAGCAATTCCATCTATTGCTATTATTGACGTATACTATTACTCAACTTAGAACCTTTCATATATTAAAAGTCGACTTTTTATGTTGACATTATGCCTTCTACACCGACCAAAGAGTCTAAAAAATTTTCATTAGCTCAACCCTCTTCTAAATCTCTCCCTTCACTTTTGGAGCTCCAATCACCCCATTCAACCTCTTCTCAACAACTTTCTGGCAATAATAATGAAAAGAAAAAAGATCGCAAATCTTCCCTTCGTAGTCATACAACACCCACCATAGAAGTTAAAGAAACAAATACCATGTGTAAAGACTATGATCCTACGACTGGTAATAAGATGATTAACAAATATATGTTAATTAAAGAATTGGGCAGGGGTGTACACGGAAAAGTCAAATTAGGAAAAGACATGGAGTTGGGAGAGTGGGTTGTGAGTATAATGCCTATTTTATAATTTCCAACTTTTACTTATTCAACTTATTCCCGTGATTCTCTTATTTTCTTTACATATTATTATGCATTAAATGAAGGCCATCAAAATTGTTGATAGAGTAACACGTCGCCGTTTGAGCACACGGAGCAATGATCTCACTAATGAGCAAAAAATTAGAAAAGAAATTGCAATACTAAAAAAATGTGTCCACCCACATGTTGTTAGGTTGAAAGGAGTTATTGATGATCCAATGAGTAGGAAAATTTATATGGGTATGTTTATTTATCGTCTTGAAGCACTTTCGTGAAAGATTTCAACTGTGGGTTTGTAGTAAAAATTTGGGATCGCTAACATGCGTTTATCACTTCATTTCGGTTCATAAATATTTGCATTTTTTTTTATTGTTAAATGCTTTATCTTTTAAATTGTATATACGCTTTAGTCATTGAGTATATGGAAGGTGGTGAAATACAATGGAAAGATGAAAACGACCGTCCTGTTATGAGTGTTGATGAAGCAAGACGGATATTTAGAGATGTAGTGTTGGGTTTGGAATATCGTGAGTAATAAGCAAGATAAATTTAATACAATTATTTTATTGAACCATATTAAATACATAATCCCCATTTTGCACAGTTCATCATCAAGGCATTATACATCGAGATATAAAACCCGCCAACTTATTACTTACTGCCGATAACATTGTAAAAATTTCGGATTTTGGCGTATCACATTTCAGTCAACGTGCTGCCGCAGTCGAGTTACAAGGAAATAATAATTCTGCACCTACTCAAGAAGATATGGACTTAATTAAAACCGCCGGAAGTCCCGCGTTTTTTGCTCCAGAGCTATGTTTTCCCGGTAAGTCATTCTATATATAAACCAAATGCGCTTTTTTTTTCTTTTTTTTTTTAAACTATTTCTTTATTTAGGAGATTTGTCACGGGAGATAATTTCCAATTCGATAGTAACTGGTAATTCTGGTAATTCTTCTGAATCGCTTTCGAAATCCCATTCAACTACCAATTCTATATCAGTACGAGGACAACGACCTCCTATCACCAAAGCTATCGATGTCTGGGCCCTTGGTGTTACACTATATTGCTTCATTTTCGGAAGATGTCCTTTCATAGCAGATACGGAATTTGAATTATTTTTTCATGTTATACCTAGGCAACCATTGGAATTTCCAGAAGATACCCCTATTTCAGACAGTTTAAAAGATTTGCTTACAAGGCTATTGGAAAAAGATCCACAAAAAAGGATCACTTTAGGGGATGTCAAAGTCAGTACATATAATTGGTATAAAATTGTTTTTAATTTTTTGATAAAAATCTCATTAAAAATAATTGAATTATCTAATTGATTTTAGAAACATCCATGGGTAATCGCTGATCTTCCAAATCCACAGAAATGGCGAGATGATACCGATCCAAAGAAGTATCAAGCGCTTACGGTTACGGACGAAGAAGTTAAAAGCGCCTACACATTAATCGTATGATTATTATTATTATTTTCATTCGAGGTTTTTCTTGATGTGACATAAGCATTGCTAATAGTAATAATCTTAATAGGATCGGTTAAAAAAGAAAATTCGTAAAATTTCATTGTCATTAGTAGGAATGTTACGATCCGGTAAAGACCATGATTTAAATCAGTCTTTTGAATCAGTTCAAGTGGTTCCCAGTCCATAAATTAAGACTGATTACCAAGTCGGTCCCATAGTAAGGTTTATTAAATATGTGATGATAAAATTCAATGAATAAACCTATATTTATGTTTGAGTATGTAATATGTGATAGCATTTACATTTTAACGATTTAACAACATTGTTTAAACAATTATGGGATAATATATTAAAAAAAAAAAATTTCTTACGAGATTGCCTGATATTGACATCAATTATTCAATTAAAATTGCATCATGGGTTGATGAAATTATAATTCGTGATCCACATCAATCATAGTATCAAATGGGGAAATTTACTATTATTTTTTGCCTTTTTTGGAAATGTATAAAGCAGGGCAATTTATTTTTTTAATTAACTTTAAGGTTAGAGTTACTTTGTATTAGGGTTAGTGGTGTTTATTATGCAAGTAATGTTGATAGTAGGTAGCTCACCCACAAAAAATTCTCCGGAACATGATTTTTGGCTAATTAGATCGAAAGATCATGTGTAATGAATCTTTAGGGTTAGGGTGAAAATTTGTCAATTAATTTTTTGTGGAAGATCTACAGGCGTTGTAAAATTTCATCCTCGATGAGTTCGATTGCAAATTTTTTATTTTTATGTTTCTCTTGCTTGGTTTTAAATCCAAAGCAAATGTTCGAACCAGTTTTAAACTGATCAAACTGAGTATTAGAATTTTAGTACAGTCAGACCTTTCCATAGTCATACTCTCGGAATACTAAAAATGATGATTATATAGAGGTGTAATTAATATAGAGTGTACTTTACTATATGGGTTGCTTAGAAATCAGTAGATTAATATTTTAAAAACTAATGTCTTAAGTTTTCTTTTGACTATTCAATTATAAGAATAGTTTTTGAAAATTATCAAGATATGAGTAACAAAATTAATTTTTTTAAAATGTTAATTCAGTCCATTATATTAATAAAAACCTGTGTTTATTAAATAATAATTTATTTCAAAAAAATTTTTTTTTATATTAAACTAATCTCTTTAGAATTAGGGTTTTATTCAATATTATAAAACATAGGACTCAAAACCAAGGCCTTAAAAGAGTAATTTTACAACTAATCATATGTAAACATCTAAATATTTTTATTTTTATTTTTTTATGCTAAATTATACTCTTGGAATTGGGGTTTTTTTGTTCAGTATTATAGAATATAGAGACTCATGATCAAAACCTTAATGGAGTTATCTTTACATTAAAGAGTATAATTAGTTACATATATACTTTTGGTGTTTAAGTAGTCTGTCTATGATGCTATACTAACTGCAATCCAACTATAAGCATTGTTTATTTAAACCCTCTGTATTGCGGTCTTTACTATGTTACTAGAATATTTCCAATACACATGCTAGTTAAAAAATTTTAAATATTTATTTGTATCTTTAGTATATCTATTTAATTTTATATAGTTTATTTTCAAAATATTATTATTAGAGTTTTTTATGTTTCATACATAGTTGATCTAGTTTTATACAACATATTATAGTCAGACTAATACTTACAGTTACAAATATTTTGTTAAACCATTATTTTTATTTATTTAAAGTTTATCTAAATTCTAGTATTTATTTTTTTAATATTTTTTTATTTTCTATTATTTCTTTTACTTAGTATTAATTAGATTTTTTAAACTACTACTTCAGATAATCTAATATAATATATTTTTGTATTCTTTTTTTTTAATGAATTCTAACAGTCTGGCTGGTCATGTGTTCCTTTATACATATTTATTATTTAATTTTTAATAGATTTTTTTAGAAAATATTTATAGGTTTTCATTAGTTTAATAGTATTATTATAGTATATATATATATATATACAATGTTTATTATTTTATATTTAATATGTTGGCACTATTCTTAAGAAAAGCTTTTGCTAGTACTTTTTCTTCATTGAAAGCAATTGAATTAAGTGATAGTAACAGATTCTAACATGTGCTTAAAATCTGTAAGTTGATTATTCTTATTTTTTTTTACTTTTTTCTGCTATCTTGAAGGTTCTTAAACATCTTTAAGATCTGTTATATCTTTTTAAAAACCAGAGTTATTATTTAGTAAAGATTATTAGATGGCATATGGCCTCTATATCCATCACCATACTTGTGAAAATAGCTCATACTCTGTTAAGTCTATTATATAATGTTCCAGGTTCCTAGTTTTGCAATGTAAGACCTACCATTTTTTTATTTGATTTGCAGTTCTCTAACTTTACATGATTTATTAGTCAGATTATTCTTTATATCTAAAACTGTTTTTTAATTTTTTTGGCTAGGTTTTTTCAATATTAATATCATTTGTTAATGAATTTATCTTTTTTGATCATCTCTAATTCTGTAGTTATATTGACAAACTGCATTCTTATATATGAATTTTGATTTATTTCTTAATAGAAAATCATCTAAAGATCTTTTAATTATAGTTCTGATAAAGTTGTTGTTACTCAGTAGGATTCAAACTTGCAACCTTGTAATTGTAACCTGAGAGCACTAATCATTATGTTATCAATCTACAGATCATTTATTCTCATTTTTATATATAATATATATAGTAATTCTTCTGATCTGTAGATAAATTATGAATTAATATTATTAATGATAATAAATTCTGATTAAAGCTACAGATTATAAACCCTAATTGCAGATCTAAGAACTTTTTTTTTCTAAAAAAAAAAACTTAATAAGATAAAGTTTGCTATAGCAGATTATATTTGGATATTATTAAAACAATCAGATTTATCACTCTTTAGTATAAATATCTAAATAGGTAAACTTTGTAAGATAAAATAGTTTTACTATAAAAATTATAAAGAATTTAATAAAGTAGTAACAGAAACTGCTAAATTTAAAAAAAAATTTTGTTCAAAACTTGAATTGTTTTATGAATTGTTAAAAATATATAATTATATTATAAAATTTTTGAAATAAAAAAAACAATATTAGATTAAATAGTTGTATTATAGATATAACTTCATAAAATTATTAAAAATAGCTTACTTACTAATAATGATTTTAAAGATTTTTTAATAATAAAATTAATAATTGTTGATAAAAAATCTTTAATCTGGTTTTTTTTAATTATTTAGTTTTTTTATTTATATTATTATATTAAAAAATTAAATCTAATCTGATATTTATATATTTAAAAAGCTGTATATAACCTATTTTGTACTTTTTATTCAGATTATAATTAAGACTAATTTATTAATAAATAGTTTTTTTTTTTTTTTTTTATTTTCACTAAAATCATTAGTTATTAGTAGTTATTATCTTTATTATGATTTTAATTATGATTATATAACTTGTACAAGGTAACTTCTATATTACATCTAACAGATAGCATATAAGTTCTTGTATACCAAAATAATATCTAATCTAATTTTAACTTTTTTGTCTGTATATCTATTAAGCTATTACATATTTTAGAATATATCATCTAACTGTAAAACTTTAGAAGGCCTTTTTGCTAACTAACTACTTATATTTAATCTTTTATTAACAGAACTTGCCTTTGCAAAGTTCACTCAGACCTTAATACCAACTTCACAACATATCTCTAATACTTAAATTATACTCTACTTTAGTTCTTAGACTTTTAATCCAGATAGTTCAAAAAGACTATAACCTGTTTTTAATATCTTAGAGTTTTACCTTTTAAGATCCTTTTCTTGGAGTATAACAACTTAGTGAAATAGATAAGTTGTCAACTCTCCAAGTAATAAATAATAAGTTCAAAACCTATCAATAGCAAAAATTTAAATAATCATCTATGTAATATATAGATGATATTATGATGATGACATTCTGTTGATCAGTTGGAATAAGATACTTATAACATAGTTATATTAGCATAACTGGCAAGTTATAGGCCATCTGCACAATATTAGAGTTACATAGAAGAATGCAAATCAGTATTAGATAATACAAACCCAAGATAAGTCCTTGTGACTATATAAACCTGTAAACTAGAAAGCTGGAGTCCACTTGGAAAGACCCAAATAGAGAGGTAGCACAGATCTTTGACAGTATTACTATAAAGGCTAAATCTAGAAAACAGATACCAATATGAAAGGAATTAGACAGACAAGAATCTCAGGTGAGAGGTACTACTAACCAGGCTGTCAGAAGTCTTAAACCAGAGGAAAAAAACCTTGGGAGCAAACTTTGAAGTACTAAGAACAGGTTATAGTCGTTCTGAGCTATCTGGATTAGGAGTTTAAGATTAAAAACAGAGATATACTATAAGTACTAAAGATATACTATAAAGTCGATGCTGAGGTTTGGGTAAACTTTGCAAAGGTGAGCTCTGTTAATAAAATTAAATATAAGTAGTTAGTTAGCAGAGGAGCACTCTTCAGTCTTACAGTTAGATAATATATTCTAAAATGTGTAATGGCTTGATAAACATACAGAAAGGAAAACCAAGGTTAGATTAAATAGTATCTAATATAGATATACAGAAACTTGTATGCTATCTGTTAATATAGTATAGAGATCAAAGTATTTAAAATAGATAATCTCCTAATAGATTGCAGGTATGGCAGCTAGTGTAGTATCTGCTATGCAGACAGACTATTTAAATTAGACAACCAAAATTTATACAAGTAGCTAGTTGTACACTCACTTTGTACAAGTTATGTAACTATAATTAAAAATACAATAAAGGCAGTAGCTGCCAATAATCACAACTTTAGCAAAAGCAAAAAAAAAAGATCCTTTTTTTCTAGTTTAAGACTTTTGGCAACCTGATTGATGATACTTTTTATCAAAAGATTTTGCCTATCTAATTCCTTCTACATTAATATTCATTTACTAGATCTAATCTTTATAGTAGTATTATCAAAGATTCATGCTATTTCTTTACTTAGATCTTCCTAAGTAACTCTAGTTTTTTAGTTCTACAGATTTATATAGCTATAAAAACTTATTTTGATTTGTATTACTCAATGCCAGTTTATATTCTTCTGTATAATTTCAATATTGTATAAATGTCTTATA